GAACTATATTCAACAATATGTGATCACAATTTCCCTCAACACAGTGAGGGGAAGGGTCTAGTGGTGGTTTGATTTGGCTTTTAAATTGTATCTCTTTTATTATTTCCATACTGCCATACACACAAAAAAAGTAGACGGATAGTTATAGTTCCTGGGTAATCTGAAAACCCACAAAATTCACCTGCAAAAGTATGTAAGCATGACCTGGAATACACCACTTTGGGAAACTACAATCATACCATTTTAAACCTTTAGAGTCTGGGTGATTCATGGAAACACAGGATTTCATGAGCACAAATAACCTGAAGAGGCGCACCCACTTATTTTTGGCATAGAGAAATTTAGGCTCTAAGAATGTGACTGGCAGAGCTTATTCTAGAACCCAGGTCACGTGCCTCATCTGATGTCATCTTCTCAATTTTGGTCTATACCCTAGTACAGTAGTTCTTAAAACTAAGTGAGCATCAGAATCCCTTGAGGGCTTATTAAAACACCCCATGGATGTTATCCCACCCAACACCAACCCCATCCCCCGCAAAGGTTCTGAATTGGTAGAACTAAGGTGAGGCCCAGCAATATGGATTTTTAACCAGTTTCCAGGTAATACTAATGCCACTGGTCTGATGACCTCACCTGGAGACCTACTGTCCCAGGAATTGGGAGCACAGGCTTTGGAATCAGACACAGCTGAATCGCAGCTCTACTTCTGCCACTGTGGTATGACCCCTGGAAAAGTTATCCAAATTCTCTGAACCTCAGCTTCTAACATCTGAGTCCAGTTGTAAGGATTGAAAAAGAGAATGCCCACGAAGCATCAGCTTAGCCAAGCGCCTATTATATTCTAAGACAAGATCTTAATAAATATTAGTGACATCCTATATCCTGTATCACTTTTCCCAAGCATATACTAGAACCACTAAAATTCAAAAGACAACCAAAATCAAAGATTTGCAAAGATGTAGAGCAACTAAAACATTAATAACAGCTTTATTCATAATAGTAACAAATAGTAAATACTCCAAATGTCCATAAACAAGCAAAAGGACAAACTGGTATGTGTATACAATAGAATATTACTAAACAATAAAAAAAAGAACCAAATGAAGCATACATGCAACAACATGAAACCTCCAAAATATTTTGTTGAATAACAAAAGCCAAACACAAGAGTATATACTGCATTAGTTCATTTTTATGAAGTTTAAGACAAAACTATTCTATGGTAAATCTATGGTGCAGGGGGAGGGGGAAATTAAACGGACAGGAACATGAGAAAAATTTCTGGGGTAATGAAAATGTTCTCTATCTTGATTTGAGTGATTAACCTGAGGGCATACATTTCTTAAAACTCATCAAATTATATATCTAAGATATGCATTTTACTATAGGTAAATGATTCCTGAATACACATAATTATATATAACTTTGTAAAGGCATTTTATGACAAAGGACTGTCTTCTCCATTTAAAATGAACTAACTCCAACCTGGCAGACCCACTGAGTTTGATTCCTGCACAATCTAGTCCTGCCGCAGACAGTTTTGGTCCATGTATCTTTCCAGAGAACTGCCATGAAGTAGAAACAGAATTTTCTCCCACCATGTAGACAGTATCCAAAGTGACCTGCGTCCCTGGGAGTGGCTAACTTGGGATGCAAACAACACAAAAGTAATATTTTTCTTTACCATATACCAAATATGAGCCTACTTGATATGATTTTAAAAGGCATGGTCATGAAGACACATTAAGAGCAATTCTATCATACAGTCTAAATCATATTCTCAACATGGAAGAGGGAGCAGAAAACTGGTGAAACGGTTTCTAGGGCCATCTTTACTGGTAATGAAGACGTCAGAAGATCCAACTGTGCCTGTGTAATTATTACATGAAATAGTCACTTTCAGATTGTAATGAATTCCAGGCCATTCAGGTTTCCTAGTCAGTATATTTCTATCCCATTACAAGTAGATTCACATACATACATACATACACACACACACATACATACACACACACAAACATACACACACACTCGCCCCTGCCGTGAACAATCTGTGCACACAGGGTGAAGAGAGCTAACACTTCGAGACACTACAGTTTCCTTTGAACTCAGAGGTGTCTGATTCCAAACCCACTTGATTATCTTACCAAGCCTTCTTAAACTCCATGATGAGAGAGCCCTGGGACAGTCACCTCCCAGAAATTTGGCAAGTAGTGGAAGGAAGAGACACAAGCCCATGCAGCATCTTGCACACTGCAAACACTGCAAACCAGCCCCTATTCAGGCCCCGTTAGACACTCCAGGACATCCCACTAGTTGGGCAGGTACCCTTGCCTGTCCTTCCTCCACCCTTTCTCCAAAATGGTCCTCAACTGAGACCTGCAGCTGCTCCCATCATAGGCCTTCACACAGTATTTTCTCTACAGCTCTGTCAAGTCATAATTATCCAGGTTCCTGACACTAAAAACTAGTTTCAGAAATAAACAGCTGCTCAAAATCAATTCAAACATAAATAGCTAATCTTTATGGAGCACTTACTATGTACAGGCACTGTTGGGTGCACTTTCCATGTGTTAGCTTACGCAATACCCACAGGAAAGCCAGTGTGAGGAAGACGCATTGTCAGGCCAGGAAAGGTTTTGAACCTCAAGCAAAACCTGGAGAGATATGCCAGGAATGAGGCACAATCTCTCCCTTTAATGAGCTCACTACCTTGTATGGAAATGAGGACCTAACTCAGTTCACAGTAAGTAAAAAACCACAAGATAGACATTAAAGGAACCAAAAGGAGGAAGAATTTGTTCATCCTAGCAGGATTCTGGAAGGCTTCTTGCAGGAGGTATCCAGGTGGAGAATGAAGTCATAAATGCAAGGAGCTTTCCATAGCTAAGTGTCAGCTCCTCAGCTCCCAAAGCTGCTAAAAGGCCAGGTTAGTCCCCCTGCCCCCTCCTCCATTTCATCTGGAACATGCCTGTTTCCAAGAGAGGACCAGCTCAGCCCAGCTCTTCCTTTGACACATTCCTCCAGCTGCTGCCTGTCCTTATGGAAACACATGGGAACTTTTCACCACGTTCAACTTCACCACCTCCTTTGGTGCTTTCACTAGGGAGAACCTGCGTCATGGCACCTGACTGCACAAGGGAGCCCTTTAAGGACCTCAGTTGTTCTCCATTGGGTTGACATGGGGACAGTCCCTTGTCGGTACCAAAGTGAGATGTAAGGGACCTACATCACCAGCAGCCACCAAATGCATCTTTTAAAAGGCCTCTACAGATTTTTGAGAGAGGAATTTGCTTCCACTCCCTTCTCAGGAATCAGCCCCTCCAATCCTGTAGGGTCATCCCCCCACTCCTTCCTCCTCCGTACTTAAGGCTCTGCAACAAGAGCTCAAACCCTCGGTTTTGGCAACTGTGTGACCTTGCGCAAGTCACTTAACCAATGTCAATCCCAGTTTCCTTATCCCTAATATGGGGTATATAAGAACAACTCGTTCATAGAACTGTTGTAGTATTGGAGTGAGATAGCGCAAGTAAAGTATTTTACACAGAGCCCGGCATGTAGTAAGCCAACAATGAATACTACCTTCATTTTCATCATCAATAATGACGATGATGGTGGTGGTGGCAGGGTAAACTTGGACCCGATTCGAGCTAAAAGCAAACACCCCCTCCCCCTCTCCCCCTAGTCTATGGCTGGGCCACACGGTGGAGACACATGCGTCATCTCGCTGAGGGGTGAATGCAGGCTTTTCTGGCGGCGGGCTCAGGAAAGGCCAGGCAGTCGTGTCCTAGCTCACCTGGAGGGGTCGCGAGGTGAAGCAGATTTTCTGATGGGGGAGGTCCAATAAACTACATACCCTCTCTTTCTGTATACTTTGACTCGTGGCCAAAGAACGCCAGCTGCATCCCTCCCCCAAGGAGCCAGGACAGCGTCCACCATGCCCCTGACTCAGTTCCCCAACTCTCCCTCGGGTGCAGGCGAGACTGCACTGCACTTGGTGGCGGAGATAACAGGTTGGCCAGCCAGGCCTGGGAAACGTCCCCTAGCTACCTTGCGCAAACCCAGCCCCCTCTTCAAAACGCAGGTGGGCAAACAACCCCACAACCTCGCAACAACTTTGTGTATTTCACCGCCACCACAAGGCGCACGGCCTCAACTTCTCTTCACTGTGCTCCGAGGAGGGAAGCGGGAAATCGAGAATGAGGGGCAGCCCACAGACCGCCCTCCTTTTCTCGGGGCGCCCCCCAAAGGCGCGCCCCGCCTTACCTTGTCTGACGGCTTTGAAGGTGACGGCCTCCTTGCAGCTGTCGATGACCCCCAGCACGTCATAGCGGGGCAAGCCGGACACCCGGACCCCCTGCACCTCCAGAAGCAGCTCCCCTTCGCCCAGCTTCGGGCCCTCGCCACCGCGGAGAAGCCCCGCTGCCTCGGCCGCCGCCACCGCTCCGACGTACGGAAACTCCCCGTGCTCCGCGCCTCCCAGCACCGTCACCCCCAGCTCGCCCTGGGGTCCCCGCTTCACGGTGCATTCGTGAACCCTGCTAGTCCAGTGGTTCTTCTTCTGGATCACTTTGGACATGATGAGTTACACCCCTCCTTCAAAAAAAAATAAAATAAAACGAGAGACAGGTGCCCCCCACAGCACGAGCCCCCAAGCCTCCGCTGGTTCATGGGAGAAACATCTCTCCCCAAATCACAAAACAGGAGAGAGAAACTTGGCAGCCTCGCTCCCCTGCACACGCTAGCGCACTCAAGCCATCATAAAACAAACTTTCTGGGCTTCCCCGCGAGCCCCGCACAGGCGCCCGCGAGCTTTGTTTGCATTCCGGTGCCTCTGGGTCCACGTTCCAGCGCCCGCCCGTGCTCTCCCGGACCAGAGTCCACTCTGCGCCGCTCGGGTTATTTTTTTTTCCTTCCTTCCTTTCTCTCTTGCCTTTTACAAATGCGGTGCCTCCTCTTTGCCTCCCGCCCGGCTCGCCTCTCCTCGCGGGCAGGCTGTTCCTGAGGGTGAAGGAAGCCCTTCCAGCCACTTGCCGGGAGCCCTGAAGACGCGGTGGCTGGGCTGGGGGGGAGCGGGACGGGAGGTAAGTGCCCGCGGCCCCTTTAAGCAGATACAAAGGCTCGGCTTGTTTTGTTACAGTTCATTCTATTCCGCGCCGCGGAGCGCAGCGGCCGGCGACAGGAGACGCGCGCGCATGCGCCCCGCGGCCGCCAGCCGGCCGGCCCACCCCTCCCCTCCTCCCCAAAGGGAGAGATTCCAATGTGCTTCCCGATGGGTCCTAAAACCGACCCGCCGGGAGAAGCCAACTCCCCCACAACCTTCCTGAACCTCTCTCCTCCCTTCTTTTCTTTCAGTGCCCTGGACTCCGCGGATTCCTTTGGGACTGGGGGGCTGCGCACGTGTTTTACTCCAACTGTTTGCAACTTTTGAAACCCGGGCAATATGGCTTTGGCATTTGAAAAACATTTCAAACAGGTGGGGGTTGGGGAGGCTGCCACACTCACCCTGGCTCTCACACTCACGCACACGCGCACGCACTCGCGCCGGCCCTAAGCCTCCTAACCGCCCTCGGCCAGTGGCTGGCCAGGCTGTCGGTCACCCAGCCCAGCTGGTTCGCCGTCCCCCGCCGCAGGTCCCACTGAAACCCCTGAGACCCTCCCCGGGGCGCTCGCCGCCTCCCCGCCTGTCCTGCGCTCGCGGGTTCGGGTCCTGGCGCGGGGTCTGCCAGGGTCTCTGCGACCCGGGGGAGAGGGACGGTGGGATCCCCCGGTCCCCCGGTCCCGCAACTGGGATCCCTGTGCGGGTCACACGCGCCCGCACACACTCCCGCATCCTTAAACTTTGAGACCAACTTTTTAGGACACGGGAAACTACAGGCGAGAGAGAAGCCATGGGGCTAGTGTGGGTTCAGGTCTTCAACCAAAAAAGCGATCCCTCTAGCTTTTCAACTGTCCTTCCAGCAGAGACTGCAGGACCCAGTCATCTGCCCCGGCCTCAAGTTCCTCGCAGAGCCTGGAAGCCTGCGGACCTACTCCGGGGCCGGGAGATAAGGATCCCCGCCGGGCGTGGACGTGCCCTGCGTCCTGGCGCCCGCGGGGGTGTGGGCGCGGCGGCCACCTCTCGGAATTCGCAGCCCGGGGGTAGCTGCGGCCTCCGGAGGTCGCCCGGGGTGCGGGTGGAGTGACTTCTGTCCCGGCGAGGTGGCGTACAGAAAAGACTCCCGTACCGCAGAAAGGCTGCCCTTCCCAAATACTTCTCAAATCGGCCTGCTCAGTAGTCTCCCCAGCAGTTTTTTTTTCCTCTTTAGTGATGTATAACTTTTGTTCATCTTTGGTCGCAGGAGAGAGTCTAAGAAATGAGGCGGGTACGTTGAAACGATGGAGAAAGGATGGAATGTCACAGTGGTCGAGATTAAGAGGTAGGCTTAGGGGTCCACTTGTGTGACCTTGAGCAAACTTGGTGACCTCCGCGCCTCCGTTTCTCGCTGATCAAATAAGTAAAACAAGACCTCACAGGGTTGTTGGAAGTATTAAATGGGAAAACACTTATAAAGGGGCATATAATAAAAACTCATTATATTATTAACAGTAGTATTACTATTTGGGAAGAGAATTAGGAAATAATTTGGGGATTCAAGTTAGGTAGTATGATCATTTATCCTCTCCTTTCTAGAACTTAAAAAATATGGGCATACTTTGTGTGTTTGTTTTTTGGTTTTGTTGTTATTGTTGTTGGAGACATGGTCTTGCTTTGTCCCCAAGCTGGAGTGCAGTAGCTCGACTAGCTGATTGTAACCTCAAACTTCTGGACTCAAGCAATCCTACCACCTCAGTCTCCTGAGTATCTGGAATTACAGGCATACACCACCATGCCCAGGTAGTTTTTAATTTTTTTAATTTTTTGTAGACATGGGGGGGGTCTCCCTATGTTAGTTGCCCAGGCTGGTCCCAAACTCCTGGACTCAAGCCACCTCCTGCCTCTCCTTCCCAAAGTGCTGGGGTTATAGATGTGAGCCACCACACCCGGTTTAGGCATACGTTTAAACATCCTTTTAAAGCATTGTTTGTAGGGTGCATTCTAAGCTAATAAAAATAAGGAGGGATATTGATGCTTCTCTCTTGGGATATCCAGAACTGAAAATCCCATTGCATTATTGTGCTTCTGAAAAAAGGAGGTGACCAATTTTTCATGGCTTTGCTTGGTGAGAGGAACTTCGTCTCCAGCTTTTTTTCAGAAGCAATCTAAGTCAATATGAACAGCACTTCAAAACATAAATTCTCAAATCCAAACACAGATCCAGCCAATCAGAATCTCAAGGAAGGGCTAAGTCATTTGGACTTTTAAGGTTCCCCTTATGTGGTGTTGGTACACAATGCTGAGCACCATGGGTTTATTATCTTGATTCCAAAGCATTGTTTGGGCCCCAGACCTTTTTGTCAAATAAACCTGTGATCCACATCTCTGTGTAAAATAAAAACTCAAGGAGGGCAGGACATTTTGACAGTTTGGTTTACTGATGTATTATTCCCAGTTCCTAGAATGGTGCCCAGTACTAGTAAATGCTCAAATATTTGTCAAATGACTCCACAAAAACGTATGTTTTTACTTTCCATGTTATTGGGGAGTCACAGATTCCCCTGCAAATCATTAGTAAGCTTAGTAAGCTTAACCTTGTGCGTTTCCCCACTGTGCCACTTCATATTCTAGTAAAGTGTAAGTGTTTGCTAAGAATACCCACAACCAACCTTAAATTAGGAGTCCCCCACCTCTCCACTCAAGGGGAGTCCAAGGGCTGGACAAGACCAGGCGTTTTGTGATTCTTCCCAATGCAACAACATCCCCCTCTTGCCAGGATTCCAGGTGTCCCCACAGCAGCTGAGAAAGGAAAGAACTTGGAATTTAGCATACGTCAGGTTTTAGATGTGGAAAAGCCCCAAGAGAAGAAGTAGTACCTGTGGGCACAGAGGGCAATATGGAGAGAATAGATATTATTCTAATCCAGGAAAATGAAAAATAATTTGAACCTTCAAAGTAGCCAAGGCTGCCAGTTTCCAGGATGCTCCCTCTGCATCTTCCTGGCTGCTGTTTCACCTGGTCTAGTTCCTGTGTCCCAGACTGGAGAGCTTCAAGGCAGAGATCATCTCTCTCTCCTATCCAACTTTTGAAACCTCAGTACCAAAAACCATGAACCATGCCTTGTGTGGAGTGTGTACCATACACAGTTGTTGAATAAATGGATAAAGTATGATATGAAATTGTGTAATATGTGACCTTTGATCCAAAGCCAATTTAGATTTGGTGGCCAGAACAGGGGTATTTATATTAGGTTGGTGCAAGAGTAATTGCAGGTTTTGCCATTACTTTCAATGGAAAGAGCTTGTAGTTATGTCATTGTGAAGTAGATTTTTCCTGAATAGATCTAAGATCCTAGTGTTCTGACTTATCTCACTTTAGCTATGAATTTGGCAATACATTCTGATGGGAGAAATACTGCTATAAAATACCTAACTTTCAAGCTTACCGTGTATGTCAGCATAGTGATGTGAGTTGGGTTTTTTGGGTGTGTTTGGTTTTTGTTTGTTTGTTTTTGAGACAAACTCTCACTCTCTCGCCCAGGCTGGAATGCAGCGGTACCGTCTAGGCTCACTGCAACCTCCGCCTCCTGGGTTTAAGTGATTCTCATGCCTCAACCTCCCAAGTAGCTGGGATTACAGGAGCGTACCACCATGCCCAGCTAATTTTTGTTTTTTAGTAGAGACAGGGTTTTGTCATGTTGGCCAGGCTGGTCTCGAACTCCTGACCTCAGGTGATCCGCCTACTTCGGCCTCCCAAAGTGTTCGGATCACAGGCATGAGCCATGGCACCCAACTGATGTGAGTTATTTTATGCAATCACCACAACTGTGTAAGGTAGGAACTATCAGGAATGACCCTGATTTTCTAACTGAGGAAAATGAAGCTAAGAAAGTGAAGAAACTTGCCCCAGAGCTTAAAAGTAACAAAACCAGGAAGTGAACCTGGAGGCATGACCCAAAACCCATGCTCCCAACCACTGTAGTCTAAGAGGATAGGATGTGGCCATTTAGCATATTTGGGTGACAGCATGCTCTGGACTCTTGAATCTGCTATATAGTGTGTACACAGTAATTAAGTCCCCCTCCTTTCTGTCTCTTCACTTTAATCTAAAGGATACAGTGTTTCACTCCAGAACTCAATCTCCCATTCTCCATCTGTGGGCTCTGAAGATTCAAATAATTCAGGAATGTAAAGAGAATGAATTTGCAAACATTTCTACAGCTTTCAGGCTGCAGTACAGGTGACATGCCAAACAGCCTTATATTATTGCATAAGCATTTCAACAATGAACTCCTAATACAGAGGGTAGATTCAGCTGAGAAATAAACTGTAACACAATAAACTCTAGACAAATTAAGGTCTTATTTGTATGTAGCTAGTTCTACTAGGGGGAAGAAAAAAAACCATGAATATGAAATGTGCATTTCTTTTCCTTCTCCCAAATATATTTCTTTCTAAAGTTTTCCAGTTGTGATTAAAGAAATGTGTCATTGCAGTTTAAAGTGGTAATTTTCCTCCTTTTTCTGAAAACATGAGGATGGGAAATAAGTTGGTCAGTTGCAGGGGCAAAGGAGGACATATAAATTGGTTATTTTTTAATTTCTGAAGAAAGCTGTCAGGAGGCATACATTAGAGGTGTCAATATAAATAGATTGTATATGGTAGGGTAACTGACTCCAAACAGGTAACTTAGAGCAGAAGACCAGTAGGGGAGATTGAAGCCATTAGGACAGATAGATGGCAAAGGGCAGTGAGGGCCATGTTCCTAGTCATCTCATGGAGGGCGTTTATGGCTCACTCGATAACTTGTTCTTTTCTTTGCCAGGGAGGCAGATGGGTAGTTTCCTCTCACCATAGTATTCTTCCCTTCAGTACTTTCAACTGAGCAAGAAAAAATAAAATGTTGTCCTTTGGCAAACTAAGGTGGATGATCACTTGAACTTAGCCTAGGCAACATGGTGAAACCCCATCTCTATAACACATACAAAAAATGTGCCAAGTGTGGTGAGATCCACTTGTGGTCCCAGCTACTCAGGAGGCTAAGGAAGGAGGATTGCTTGAGCCCAGAAAATCAAGGCTGCCATGAGCTATCATCGCACCACTGTACTCCAGCCTGGGCAACAGAGCAGGACCGTGTCTCAAAAAATAAAAATAAAAAATAAAATAAGGCTGGGCGCAATGGCTCACACCTGTAATCCCAGCACTTCGGGAGGCCAAGACAGGCAGATCACTTGAGCTCAGGAGTTCAAGACCAGCCTGGCCAACATGGTGAAACCCCATCTCTACTAAAAATACAAAAATCAGCCAGGCGTGGTGGCGCACACCTGTAATCCCAGCTACTAGGGAGGCTGAGGCAAGAGAATCGCTTGAGCCCAGGAGGTAGAGGTTACAATGAGCGAAGATCATGTCACTGCACTCCAGCCTGGGAGCAAGACTCCATTTCAAAAAATAAATAAATAAATACATAAATAAGTAAATAAAATATTAAATTGTGTGACAATTGTGTGACCATTCAAGATATCATATATGAACTATTATTTTAATAGTCCAGGAAGTAACTCCAGGAAGGGTTTTAATCCTGGTTAATGTTCTGTTTCACTTATGTGCAAAAAAAAAAAAAAAATGAATAAGGGGAACTGGAATATTTGGTCAGACTTTTGGTCTGAGGAACCAAGGGAAATCAAAAAGTATGTCACGAGTATCTCTCCTAAAATTTCCCAAATGGTTCAGCTATGTAAAATACTAAGTATCTCAAAGTAGCCTATCGTCCCCCGTAATTCCACTGAAACTATACCTCATGGTTTACTAATTTCCTTGAGAACAGGAAGCTCTCATTTTCTCAAGAACAGATGTGTATACCTCTTTTATATTGTCTCCCATCAACTCTGTCAAAATATGGTAATTAGAACATGGCTTACTCTCTAATATTTCTTTTCTTCCTCTTTTTTTTTTTTTTTTTTTTTTTGAGACAGGATCTCATTCTGTTGCCCAGATTGGAATGCAAGATCACAGCTGACTGCAGCCTCCACCTCCCAGGCTCAAGTGATCCTCCCATCTCAGCCTCCTGAGTAGCTGGGACTACAAGTATGAGCCACTGCACCCAACCTTCCTCTTCTTTATTGTATACCTTTAGCAATTTGCTGTACCAAAATAGAACTGAGAGGGAGAAAAAGGAAAATATACATTGAAACTAAGGGTAAAATGCCCATATTTTTAAAAATACCATACTAATATAAATTTTTGCAAGAAATTTTTAAAACAGATAAGTAAATAGGCACATTAAGTTAAATCATCTGTAATCTTACCACCAATAATTAACCAGTTTGTATATTTGGGTGAATCTTGTACTGGACCTACATAAACCTGCATTTATTACTTTCAATAATCGAATAATATTTTTTCCCTGAATGTTTCCAAATTTATTTAATGAATAGTCCATTGATGATCATTCAGGATTCTGAAGAAAGCTAAAATAACAATTTGTATTAGGATGTTTTTGATTGTCAGGGACAGAAACCCAGTTGAACTACCTTAAGCAAAAAATGAAATATATTCCTCCATGTAATTGGCAAGACCAGGGGTGAAACTAGTTTTCAATGTCTGGATGAAGAGGTTCAACTGACATCCTCAGCTTTCTCTCTCTCTCTGTATCTTGATTCTCCTTTGCTGTCTGTTGCCCTCATCCTCTCCCACTATATACAGATGGGTCTTCTCCAGCCAAC